TTTTTCATACTTGTTTCTATATTTTTGGCTAAGGACTTCTAGTCTTCATATCTCAATTTCCTGGCCCCTTGTACTTTTTTCAGACTTTCTTACAAGACTAAAAACGGATAATCTTGGTCTTATTCGTCCATCAGTTCAGTGTAATCAACATTTTGTAGGCATATATTTTTCACGAGTGTTAATTTGATACTATTTGGTGCACCTAAGAACGTTAATATCTGTCTTGCTTTTTCTGCTACCTTCATACTTATATTGGGGCTGCAATATATCCTAACCGACATGAAACTTTTTATTTTATTAGGCACACGCCAAAACACAACTTCCACTCTTACTCGCTCCACCTCGCTCACCACCGGCGTAAGCAGCAATGATCCTTCTGGCCAACAGAATCCTGGCGCTTCAAACTTACTAACAAATGTTAATCGGCGCCTCGAATCTTTATTCGGCACACGCGGCAAAACACCGTATATGAAAAATGAAACAGTTCAGTCCTCTGCCATCAGCGCTGAGCCGTCGGTATCTGGTGGGCTACCTGGATCCCTTGGCTCGGTAGGCATTGCTTGCGTCCAACTTGATTTGGAGGAGCCTTTAAATGGAAAAGAAGACCTCGGTCCTACGCGAGAACAGCTGGATGAGGGGAGCACTTCAACCGGGATCAAGGCGCAGCTACGAGCTACTGCTTTTGGCAGCACCGAAACTGTTGAATCGCATGCGGTAGGCTTACAAATGACCACCGTTTCCGAGCTTACTTACAACCGAACTGATTATTATAGTGTGAATAGGTTAAGTTTAGCGCAATATGACACAACCAATGGCTTTGATTCATTTTTTTTGTTTCTGTCATTAGTCTTACTACCACTGTAGTCATTAATTGAATAATCCATTACTTTATTTTTCAACTGCGCCAAATTACAATTCTATTTTTAACTTCTCAGTGGGTCAAATTCGCCGAAAAAATTGGTGCATAAGCGATTGCAACACTGCTATATTTCTACACACTAATTTTTGAAGTTGCCTCCACGCCTCTGATTTCCATAACAAGCTATACCAAACGAAACAAATTCACATTCATTAATTAACCTGGGATTTTTTCCATAAATATATGGGAACTCATTTCATTTTATATAAAAAGTTAGATATAGAGGATTCTTGATTTGGTTTATTTGGAAACCGAAGGAAATTCCATAAACGATTTTAGCGTAAAAGTCTTCCATGTGCCGTTTTGCCATCTCGATTAATCTGTTAATATTATTAT